ATCGTTTCTCTAGCAAGCTTGCCAACCTTGCCGTTAAATACATTACTACTATGCCCTTTTATCCAAATAATATGTGCATTTATGCTTCTATTATCTTACTGGTGTAGTATATTAAATGTTTCTGATATAATGACATGGGTGGGGTTATGTACATTTCTGATAGAGGCGACCACACTTTGACTAACCAGCTACACCTTGTAGCTTCAACGAATAAGGCGCTTCTTCTGAAGGATTATACAAAGCTCCACCAACTTCAAACCCTTGGTTGGAGCCATCCGTGTATAATGTCAACGGTTGTTAACAGGCTGCTTCTTCTATATAGAATGGGAAAACTAAACAATTTGAATTTGATACTTTAATGGGATTTGAATGAGAAAATTAGATTGAGGAGAGAAAAAACATCTGTAGGGGATCTGGGATGGGAAGGAGATAAAGGAATAGAAAAATTTAAAAGTTCATGTCTGGAATAATTAAAACAGGTGATTTCTTTTTTGCTAAAATCTGCGAGTATTTTTGGTGATTCAAGATTTGAAAATAATCATATCAGTTAGGAGATGAAGGGATTTTCAAACATTTGTGAACTCTTGAGTGTTTTGAAACTATTCGGGGTTCAAAACACTGACATGTTATTTTATAAAACTTGTTGATTTTATTAAATTTAAAATTGATAAAAATTAATCAATGTGCTAAAAGTTATAACGATTTTTTGAACTAACGGCTGGACCGATTTTTAAGTTCGATGACTGAAATTATTTCAGTCAGATCCCGCAAGTATTTTGAACACATATTTCCAAATCTGCATAAACACCTTAGTAGATTATTATGGATATTGACGTCTACAAATATTTAAATTCGGATTGAGGGTGTACAATCGTATGACAAAGCCAGTTCTAATGTACGCCTACGAGACCTGGACACTCATCAGCACCGTGGGAGAAGTATTAAGAGAGTGATACAGGAAAATCCTCTGCACGATACCGAACCGATCTGGAATCAAAGTACAAGTGAAAGTAAAGCATGGAGATGAACGGTCAGTAAAGAACTGTCTACAGAAACTGGTCAGTTAACATCTCATGATACGGAGGCAAGGACATTAAGATAGACGAAACATGTTGCTCGGAGCACTCCATCAAGTAGTCTTCACATAGCAATGAATTTCAAAATAGTTGGTAAGAGATTACGTGAAAGTCCAAAAATCATATTAAGAAAGAATAAAAAAGATGCTACAGCGATATAAAACTAGAAAGCAATAGCCCCAGATGGTCAGCGGTGGAGAAAGCTGTTTCAGGCTGTCAAAAATCTATAAGGTCTGCAAAGTCAAAAGTAAAAGAAAAAAAAAGTTTTTTTTCCCCCCCAAATATACAGTTCACTGCATTTTTCAAATAAATGTATATTTACCTAACTATATGTATTTACTCTCAAATTTGCGAAATATATATATATATTCGGACGAACAGTGAAGGAAAGTCGTTTAACGAAATATAAAGCAGCATAAAAATCCATTCTCCAAAAATATCTAACACCTATCCCATTGACGATCGATCGGTGGGCTAACAATGTCGTTATTTATATCTTTATCATTTCGATTAAAGATTAAACTGAAATGATTAAACTTTTTATAAACCGTTATCAGTAAAATAGAATGTACTTATAAATTAACTTTTACCACTTCTTTTCAGAAAGATAATTTATATTAAGTACATTGTATTATAATTTTATTTTTGATAATATAAGCTATTTTCATCTGTGCATTATAATAAGTCGAAGGTCTGGTAAGTGGGACTTAACCAATCAAAATTGCTTCTCAAGCTGGGAGCACATAATTTACACACGATGCTAAATAAAAAATTCACAGGAGTACTGACTTTACTGAACTTAATTATTAATCTTGTTGATAAGTAATTTGAAGTGTAATCTTAAAATTTAATTCCGAATGAAAATCTCATCCAATTTGATATTTTTGTTCTTAATGGCTAAATATTTGCGTTTTTATAACTTATATTATGTTTCTTTATGATTATAAAATATAATCCTGAGTCCTAACCTCAGTACTTAAATATTATTATTTATATAATGTGTGACACTTAGCTATTGTTGGCACAACGCGGATGACTCTATGCACCTGATGCCCGGATCTACCTGAAGACGACACTGACATTCCAGTATGCTAATAGACGGCAAGAAGTCTCCCGAGGATGTAATTCGTCGTATTCTCACGGTGGGCCGCACACCTGCCCTTACATCCGGCCATTGACTACCGGTGTGCTTCCTCGTCTGTCTCACTAGATGGTATATCCATCGATACAATCCACATAAGAATAGAACGTAAAGTGAGTTGTTTCGTAGGAAAAGAGGACGATTCTAAACGATGTCTTTGTTTAAAAATGATAAGGCCAAATCGAAAGACGAATGACAATTGTTCACTAAAATGTTTGATAATTTTCTTAAAAATATATAAATAAAAAAAAACCTGGTGTGGTGCGAGCATTACACAGCTTTCACTTACCACCATTCTTTTAGCATAGATAAGTATTCCCATAGAAACAAAAGTAAAGTAAAATAAAAATTACAACAGACGGTAAAAAAAGTTTTGAAACAATTAATTACCATAAGTTTTTCACAGTTGTCTAATGTATTATATTTCTGTTTTTTTTTCAATAACTATTTTTCCTTATGAATATGTGTTTTAATTATTTATTTGATTACATTAAATAATTGGCAGAATAGAAAAGAAAACAAGAAGGGACCAAATTAGAGATACAACGATAAGAAGCAATCCGGAAGTAAAACCAGCAGAAAATAGAATAGAGGAAAACAGGCCATTTCAAAAGAATGCAGGAATGAACAATGACCAAAACTATATATGAAGTAAAAGTGGAAGGAAGAATGCCAAGAAGAAGGCCCTGAAAGACCTGGGAAGGTTCAGTCAGGGAGGATTTCGATAGGAGAGGAATGAGCTGGAATAGACACAGTGAGCTGGTGCAAGAATGAGATAAATGGTACACTGATGTACGGTAGAAGAGGAATTGATCAAGAATAAGAAGAAATAATTATAAAGATAGATAATTTCATAATTTTTTAAATTAGCAGTGATACTTTTTCCCCTCGTTATTTTAGGGCTGTCGATGTTCCATTAGTATGAATGTACAGGTATTATTATTACTATTATTTTGGCCTACTCACGTTCTTCAGTTTGGTGACAGATTTCCTTTCTAAGTTAAAAACGTTCGGGATCCCCCGAAGAATTACTGTATCAAGGAATTAATAGTGTAAAAACCATGTATTTACGTGTCAGGACATATGATGCTTAGATCCTAAATTTCATCTCTGAATTTTTTTTTTTTTTTTTTGATTAATACTTTTAATAAAATTGTCTTAGTTAGTGTTCCTTTGAATCCAATTTAAAATAAAATAAAGATTGGTTAAACGATGGTAGGTGGTTGGTTATATGTTCACCATATAGATGTGAATACAGGCAGACTGCAACGGGAATAATTTCATTCTAAAGCGTTTAAATCATAAAAGTTTAAAAAATTTGATGACTGAGTAAAAAAGTTTTTTAATCTCTCGCACGAATACGAAACTTCAACACTTTCTTATTCTTAAGTATCTTCGGTTGTGTATAGGCACTGTAAGTATAGATATTTTTCATTTACAAATGTAATATGTTACCTCAATTCATTAATCACTGTAATTTATAAGTTTTCAACATTAATTTATAATTCTTCACTCCTTAATTAATTTTTCATTACAATGTACAAAGCAACCAGAAGTAATTAATTATGTTTCATTATAACGTAAAGAATATTTTCAAAATTTAACACCTATGAAAAAAATTGTATTATTAATTTATGCTGACGCGCGTACATAAAATTGCACTTAAAGACTGTATTTTATTGTGAAGGTACGGCATCAATATCTCAATGCAAACACAGGTGTGCCGTTGTCCGTTATACATAGCTGCCTTCCACTGCCTGTTACATATTAACTAGGGATAGCCGGTTGTTTAAACATTAAAAGTTTTATAATTCTTTTACTTTCATTTAACTATATATGAAATATATGGAATAATTTATAATTGGCTGATAGATTCGAGAAAAAAATCTTTCGCACGATAACCCAAGCGATCTGTGATCAGAATACCAACACGTGGAGAAGAAAGACCCATAAAGCACTGCTTACAGAAACTTGTCAATTAATCAGAGCAATACATCTGGAAGACTGGAATAACAATGAATGCCTTAAAAGAAGGCAAAGAACCACGGGAAAGGTAAAAAATCAGATGGACAGATCGTAACAACAGAGATGCAATAGAACTGCATGCTCCTGCAGTTATCTTCAGACAACTGTAAAGAAATAGCCTAAGATAGGCAGAGATGGAGTTGGCTTGTTAAGACGGCAAAAGTTCTACAAGGTCTGTAATTCCAACAGAAAAAAGAATATATAACAAAGAAAAGTATTGCGATCGTGAAAAATTTCGAATCTTTCCAAAATGGAAAATTGAAGTTTTCTATGAAAATATAAAGTCCCTGAGCCCAGATAAGTTAAGTATATTCCATATAAGCTTCAAAAATTGGTTTGAGTACTACCTAACTCAAAAATAAAAAATCGTGTGAAACTGGAATTTTATACTTAACGCGGGTTATACCTGTGATGTTACACCAACTTAACTGTCAAAATGGATTAAGTGGAAATGCTTCATTATATCATCAATTTTAAACTTTTTTACGATTTTCTCTAAAACGTTTTTAATTGAACTCGTTTCATCAATTATTTCTAAAGTACCTTTAATTTGATATTTACTTTAAAGTTACAATTATTTTTTTTTCAGTTTCTATGGTGAAGAATATAATGTACACAATTTTCATTCTACAATTGTAAAAATGCCTATTGTATTTATGTATTGTGTTAAAAGAAGAGGTACAAGTACAAGTACAATTGTATTGTGTATACAATTGTATTGCAATATTCTAGTACTACCTCCAATATATTCTGGGAGGAATCGTTCATCCATAAGACTTGTTCTGGAACAATAGCCATGATGAGATATTGATAAGTAATTCAATAAAACTTTGCAATTACAATCCAACAAGTTTTAAGCAGTTTAAAGTCTCCCAATAAAACAATTGTTATGGTTAATTTCACAATCTATAATCACAACCTTATTAAACCACTGCGTTTATTCAACATGTCGGTTACTGCTAAACAAAACGGTCGATATTCAATTATGCTTTTTGTATTGTCTCTTCCAAATAGTAACATATATTGGAAAACAATGCACCAGAACGACTGAATAACCCAATGTCGCACTCAATACACGGTCTAGAAAAATTAATGGTAAAATACATTGTTTGAGATTTATCATATGTTTAAATTATCTAGACGAGAGGTTTGACAAACTTTGGCCTCACTATATGAAGTTATTTCTGGTATTCTTGGTCCTGTTGAAGATCATTAACTGTCGTATTGGGTGAGTTTATCAGAGAATCAAGTTCTACTTCTCTTAATTAAAACATTTCTTGGAGAGTTTTAGATGAAACGTATCAAAACAATGACGATGGGTACTTCTATCACAGGATTCTCGGATTCAAAGTACTGCTGTTTTATTTTTTAATCATTTCTGAGGTTTCGTAAATGCTTGCTTGATACTGGTATTTATTTTAGTGTATTCTGTTGACAGTCTAGCAATAATATATGAATGATCAACAATAAGTGAATGAAAGCAATATGTTTTTCATATGTTCAGGCTTAGGAAGGTCACTAACCAGTTGAAAAATGATGAATGATCAACAATAAGTGAATGGAAGCAATATGTTTTTCATATGTTCAGGTTTAAGAAGGTCACTAACCAGTTGAAAAATGATTTAACTATAATAACTCATTCAAGCAGGAATGAGCATATCACATGTTGCAGATAGGATTGTTTGGGGCAAAATGATCGAGCAGGCTAAGGACCGCATCATATATCTACCATTAAAAAAAAAAACTGTAGATAAAAAAATGTAAATAAATTTTGAATTTTGCTATTCTTAAAATTATATACGAAGAATATAGTATAGAAATACGAACTCAAATGACTATCCTATTTCATAGATATCTTCGGTTTCGAATCGCTTCACACCGCTTCGCTGAGAAAAGGAAACATGGAAGATGGATGGTTGTAGAGATGCCCTTCTCCCTCCCTCCACCCCAAGGTCAATAGCGCATGAACTATCCCCCTCATCTTCAAAAATTATATTTCTTTCCTCTTCTTGAAAACAGCGAAAGTAGGATTAGACAAACAACAGATTATATACAATTACACTTGCTGTGGTCTGTCTCATGTTTTTTTTAGTTCTCTGTTTTGAAAATTTTCAGTCCAAAAATGCATAGCTCCGTCTGTGTTGTGCCTTTCTCAAAAATTCGAAACAAAGTAAAAATATGCCATTCTCAAAAATTTTGATGGAGTAACTTGCGTCATGAAAACCCCTTATGGGTACCCCTGGATGGTTTTATTTATTGTTGAAGATATAGTCAATCGTATAGTAAGTCGACCTCTGGTGATTGCTGGACAATTGTCTTTTGAACGATCTAAATCTTTCGCGAAATTGCATACAGACTGTCATGGAAGGTCTTTTAGACTTCAGTAATTTTTCTATCAGCATTTTTGAACGCCTGTACCGATTCTGATAATTGGTTGACAAACAAGTTAAGTATTGACAGCTTATTTCTAAAACCCATTTACTTCTAAAGCTCATTAAAAATAAATTTTGTAAAAGGAAATAAAAGAATATTTTTATTAGAGTAAAACAAATTTTTTTATTATTTTGTCTTTTATATTTAGGAATTCTTAATATTGTTAAAAACATAATTCGATACAGTATAAGTATCGATGAGCAATGAGAATCGAAAATAAATAAATAAGCATTAGTAACAAGGCATAGAATATAGCGCATTAAAATCAATATTTCCTTGCTAACTTCCTATACCAAGCCATTAGAACACGGCGACCTTCCTATATTCTAAAGATCCGACAATTCAAACGCTCCTTTCAATCCTGTCCCACCAGATCCCGTATGTCCGACCTCTATCCTCCTCCTCACCGAACTGCTGCGTTTGATAAATCCTTTTCAATACTAGTTGTCTCTCTCTGGAACTCTATACCTTCAGATATTCGACACGCGAAATCAATATCTTCTTTCAAATCTCTCCTCTTCTAACACCTACTCCATTCCCAATCCGATTAATCACGAAATGCACTTAAAAATCTAAGCTGTAAAAACTTCAAAGTACACTGATTATTTTGTGATTCATCGATATTTTGTATACTTAATTACTTTCTCTTTATATTTTATATTTACACGTATTTATATTTTTTTTATTATTTATACTTTATTGCATTCCTAATCAACCTGTAAATATTAAATTGTATTTTATGGACACACCAAAATATTAATATATATTCTGTATTTGTAACTTTTTCTAAAGGAACACTAGTCCCAGAATAATAAAATTATTTTCATTCATTCATTAAGGAATTGGACTTACAGGTTTTAGAGTTATGCCGCGAGCATATAAAGATATACAATTCTAACTAACTATTCCATAAAGGTAAATAAACCAGCTGTCTTTTATTTAGGAAAAGAGCACTAAAAACAACTTGGAAATTTGAAATTTACTAGTTTACAGTTGTTTACTTAATGAACTTTTTTTCTGGATCTCCTAACGGTTCCACGAGGAAGGGAGAGAGGTGTTATCAGCACTTGAAATCCAGCTTGGCAAATTTAGATGTAGCTTGGTGCATAGGGTTCTTAATTCCAGCAACAAATGATGGGCACAAAGATTGGCCCACCTCCAATTTTATTTAACGCAAGATTATTTCCCTAATATATGTAATTTGTTTATGTTTTTATCAAGTATTCTACCATTTACTTTTATTTTCCTGTATATTTCACCAGCAGTAACTTATCATTGAATGTTTGAAAATGTTGAATGTTCATTGAAAAACAGGACCATCTAGCTGTACATTTAAATGTATATCAATTGATATATTCAAATAAAAAATAATTAATTTAATTAAGGGAAGATGTCAGAACTGGATTCTTCACGGGAAATGGGGAGAGAAATGCGTTCTTCATACGTGCTTTCAGGTAATGTAATAGCATGTATGTATGATTATGTATTTAGATACAGTTACAGCAAAATAAAAAAAATAACAAAAAAACAGCGTACTCTTAATTTACCAATATCTCATTTACTTGCTTCCAAAGGTTTCTCTCAACAATATCTTACTTTAATCGGTTATATCTTACGTTACTTTAATCCGATCATGCTTTGGATATGTTTAGATCAGTTAAGTAACAAAATTAAAATCAGAATGCGTCGTTCGTAGATATCGTTTTCCCATTTAATAGTTTCCGGTATTTGTTTAGTGATTTGGGTGTTGACTGTTTCATATATATATATATATAACCTGTACCACTACAACCCAAGAAGGGTTTTGGGTTCAGTAATGTTTAGGGAAAGTAATGTTTCTTGATCAACAGTTGTTCAAGAAGATGATTTGACCAAGGTCACACTCAAGCGCCAGGTTTTTTTCCCCTTAATTAATTAAACATTAAGGGTACCCACTTTATAGAGGCTTAGTTTGCCTCAGAAGGGTCCCCTGTCATCAGGATGGCTCCACGGCTGATGAAACTGGATAAATAATTTTCTGCCATGAATGAGTGAATTATGTATCATATTAAAGTGTTGAAATAAGGACTCAGTTCTTGTTTCTTGCCACGCCACCAATCCGAAATACATGATAGAAGCTTATTCAAATGGCAACATTTAATGTTTTCTTATTGAGATCATCCAATTTTACAGAAACTCGGCTTCTTCTGAAATTTCTTCTCGAAAACATCCTCTCTCTTTGTATAGATGCACTTTCACAAAACATATTATCATCATCACGGTGGGCACTACAACGTATCGCCGGTCATGGGCCTCCTTTAAAACCTCCCGGCAGTTGAATCTGCCTGTTGTAGCAGCTCTCCTGCTTAGGATGCCAAGAAGTAACCGCTTCAGCGACGATATCCACCCATCTTACATGAGGCCAACAATCCGCTTGCAGTGAAGCTCATCTGTCAAAGTGTTCTTTGTTATGTGGTCTTCATCTATCGGCACCAAGAGGCCTGCACATCGAAGTCTACCCAGTCTAATAAACTTGAACTCGTCAATATTCTTATACAGACCAAAACGCACTTTATTTTTTCGTCTTCTCCAGGTGCTTCTCTTTTGAACCAAGCCAAAAATACTCCTCAGTATTTTTCTTCCTATTGCTAGTAGTCTTGTCTCATCAGCTTTGATTCTGACCCATATGTAAAAACTTGGCACATGACCTTATACTGGCTGATCTTTGTACTGTTGGAAAGAACCTGCTTATAAAATGCCTGGCTAAACCAAAGTAGCTACGGTTAGCTGCAGTGATCTGTGGATTTCCGCAGATATATCGTTTCGAGTATTCATCTCCAAGAGATAACTCGTACTCCTGTAAAATTTTCACAGATTTCTTCAGATAAGAGGAAAATATCTAAATTAACAATTAACTAAATTAAATTAACAACGATAAATATATCTCAGAGATCAATAATCTCATTGTCAACTAAGTATAAAACGTAAATTTTATTTAAAATAAAAACAGTTTAATTAATTTAAGCATACAAGAAAAGTTTACACATCACTCCTTACAATCTAAAAAATAATCATGAAACCATTAATTGTAACCATCTCCATCAATGATCTCGGAAATACTAGAAGGTTTTGTATTCTTGCTATAGTTATTTTATCTATAAAACTTTGTTTTAGGAAACCATCTACACTGGTCGGTCAAGAGGACTACGTTCCTGGTGAAGAAATTTTTACAATTAAAATCAATGATGCAGAGTAAGTGTTTTAAATGTATCTCAAAATATTTGTTTGTTTTTTAAATAAAAGATTATTCAGTTTGTTTCAATACAATTATCGAAGCTTTTAAATAACCGTATTATGTAAAAACGACCTTATCATCTGATTCATATACTTCTTAAACTCAACGCTCTCATCTGAGTTAATAAAAAAAGAACATACATACCTTTTGTTTTCAGTAATCATTAAATTGCAGCAATCCAAAAAAGTGAAAATTAACTATGTGGCAACGCGCTGTATAAAAATCTTTGAATTTACTTTAAATCATTTGCAGATAATCTTAAAATTTGTTTAATTCTGTATTTTAGAAAGCAGATTACGAATTTTACCTTTTTACAAATTTCTTTTATGAATTTTAGTTAATGATTGATTAAAACCTGTGAATTAAAATAAAGAATTTGTCGAATCAAATTCAGGCAATCCAAGATTACAAGGTTGGGACAAAATACCAATCTAGCGCTCGTATCCAGTAATAGTGCTGCAAATACTGCTTTGTGTTGAACTAGTTATTTATTAAAATCGTTAGCAAACGAAGTCAAAAGTTTATCAAGCACACACATGTTAAAAGAAAACAAGTCTAGTATTATTAACCATCCGTATTCCAGTGGAATAGAACATTCATACATCTAATTCTCGTACGAACGTAACGCGAATAAATGATAAATTAAAAATAAAACTTCATAATTTCGTTTTCCGTTGTGACCATATCAAATCATAACTAAACAAGTATTAATAGATAAGTTATTATGTATAATACGAGATAAAATATTGACATCCACACAGCACAGAAGAGGCAGTGAATTCAACGGAGTCCTCCACTTTGAAGACATCCAAAGCGACGTCTACAAAAGACCTAAAAAATCACCAAGAGAAATCGCTTAAGAAGTCACGTTTATTTGAAAAAGCATTTCATGATTCAGGAAGCTGCAAAACTATTGGAGAGGCGTTCATTTGTCCCTACTGTAACATTGAGTTTCTCGTGAATCTCACTTTCGAAAAGCATGATTTTCTTCCTATCCATCTTAAAAGTCCTAAATAAATAGATGATGTACGATCTCTGGACAAACTATCGAATTATAACACATTCGCCTATCCATTAATAAATAGATAAAAACATTTTTAATCGTATTTCATTATATTCTATTGATAAATAATGTTAGTCAGACATTTCCTTACCTTAATTTTGGTTATTTTAGACCATTAGTTACTTTATATATAGATTATAGATTATATAGGGTCTATAAACTGAATGGCATGTGGACCAGACCAATTGAGACATAGGTGAGTTACGAAGACGAAAAATATCGAAGTATCGATCTTTAAAACCATTGAAAGTCAAATGGTTATCAATATCACTGATGCACATACATAATAACTAATGCTTTTTATTTCTGTGGCACCCGTGAATAGTGTGCTAATTGCAAATTTGTGAATTTTTATGGGTATCGCTAGGAAGCTAATTTATGCGGCTATTACAGAGATGAATATTCCTTAGTGAATCATGGGCTAAAACACGAATATTGAGATTGCACTTGTTAAAATTCCAAACTTTCAATTGCATTTTCCAAAAAAATATTTTTTTTGCACTTAACACACTATTCACAGATTTTGTATGTGTAATAAATATTTATGAATTTATAACTGTTTTTCAAAAGTAAAACCTCAAAATAATTTTCTAGTTAATCCAGAAATCATATTTTTTAAAAATCCAAGAAATTTCGTATTATATCACGACTTAAAACAGATCAAAACATTTTTTTTTAGATTATAAATATTTAGTGCCTATCAAAGTTTTTTTTGAAATCAAATCTATGTCTGTACTTGTTATTTAATATATTTCGTTTCGTATCGAAAGGTTTTGATAATTTTCAATAGATTTACCGCAAATAAATTGTTTTCTTGCACTAGCGGATTCAGGATTTCATTTTGGTAGGGCTTCAGTCCGAAAGTTTTCTTTTTTCATAAAAATAACGATAATTACTTTGGAAAATAAGAAAGAAACTAACTACATATATGAACTGGTGTTTAAGATTCCTAAAGCCCTTTTAAATGTAATTACATAAATAATTATACTTTAAGAGATAATTTTTTAAATATTTTTTTCGATAAAACATGGTTATATTTTACCATTTTGGGTGGGGGGAGGGAGCTTCAGTACGAAAGCCCCTCCCCGCCCCATAGATCCGCCCGAGTTTTCTTGTATTTAAATTCTTGTTTTTTATTTTTTTCGTATGCTTGTTTCAACGTCACCTAGATTTTCGTCTGCGTTAATCAGCGTTTTCCACCTCTTCTCGATATTTGGATACCGCTTTCCAGTTGCATGCAGTTTATAGCAACGTAGAGAATGGATTGGTATTCTGAACCAGTTCGTTCGGGTCATCGTATCAGCGTAGAAAAAGACTTTCATACTAAATTTGTTAATTATTCTTTCCCTGGCACTAGTATTTAGGGTCTTCCCATAGTATAGTACATCTTTAATATTCGGAATTTAATGGTCAATTTACTATTATCAGTGCCGGCCTTAGATAGTCTGCCCCCCCCCCCCAGGCAATGACGTCATCGCCCTCATTAAAAAATTAAATTTATTTCTTAAGCTGTTTTATATTATGTAATATTTTATTCCATTTTAAATTTCTCTATTACACTTGATTTATTGATAGCCTAACATTAATTATTTCAATACTTTTTTTTTGTATTTTTGAATATGTTTTCAAAAATTTCTAACAAGTATCTAGCGCCCCTGAAGATCGAATAAATTTTCGTATCGAAATAAATTTTAACCCGCACAGACCGGATTCGAACAACCGTCGTTAGACAGAGTTCAGTGTTTTACTATTTATCCACTTTGCAAAAGAAGACGCTTTAAGATAAATCATTGAAAGCAAGGTAATAATTACCCTTAATAGATAAGAACTGACCCTCTGTTCAATAAGGCAGGGGTCGCAAAACTATTGCCCACGGACCGGCAAGCACCTCCAATCCGGCTTGCGAAAGTTTCTTTGATTACATGGTAAAGTTTTAAGATCTATTTAAAAAATAATAAATTCAGTAATCACTCAAACACAACGTTACATCAACATTTATTTCCTGAGTTGTTTCTCTTAGAAAGTTCATGTTAGAACTGAAGTGTCATTTTTCATCACAAGCCATGGCCCGTGAAATTTAATGGACGTCTCAATCTGGCTCGCGGGCCAAAACGTTTGGAGACTCCTGATTTAAGCGATTGATTCCGGACATCAATACATTATTCAATAGCCGATAAGTCAATACATCGATCAACAGTCGATAAATTAATCAAGACTGTTACAAGTTAGGTGGAATAAATAAATCACTACAATGGGCCATATCGTGCCCACAGATTGGATCTGGGTCTAGAGCCTTCTTGAACGGGATAGTAAGTCTTGTAACGAACAAGACGAGACAAGTAGGTAAATACTGGCGGCAACGTAATACGATGATACTTCTTTTTTTAAAGAAATACAAATGTTTTTAGATATAGAACATGCGAAAAAAAACATTGGAGCTTAATAAAACGATTTGTTAATGTAATCTTATAAAATCATTTTAATTAGGTTATTTCAACAATATTCACAAAAAATCAAATAACAGCTGTAATTTAATAAATTGATTTATTACAAGTGGATTCAATAATTTTAATTGCTGGTACAATTCAAAAGTTTTCATAAAACTACGATGAAAAAAACTGAACTAATGGAAAAAGGAAACGTTTATAGGATTCAGAAAAGGTGTGATAAAAGGAAACCACCGAAACTACCATCATATGCTACTCCCGTTCACAAACCGATAAAATGTCAAAGTGGAAGTGTAAAGAGGCAAGGTCTTATCGAGTGCACTCCAGTGAGGATACTCACCCTCCATGCCAACAGGTCCTTGTCTTTGCAGGACCTGTCGCCTGGATTAGAGCAAGGCATGGCGATCAGGAGGTTGGTATTTCTCCTTATAATTATAAATGTACTTTGGAACGAGAAGGACCAATGTCCTTAAACTAGTAACAGTTTTATTTTCCTCCTGTCTGACCATTTCTGGAATACGAGATGGCTATCCTACAGGTATTCAACCTATTCATCTTATTTAGCCAGACTGGAAGGGTCAAGTTAAATTTCTATTTCTATTTCGTTTTATTGAGACTATTATGAGTATCAATAGAAGGAAATAGTTATTTCCGAAAATTAATTTATACCTTACTCCCATTTGTTTTTATGCAATTGACTCTAATTTTAATGTTTTGATTCGACTCTTCATACATTATCACATTTGTTCTAAGGTGCAGATATATTAGTTAAGATGATGGTTATCTATTATTATTATAGTTAGATATAGTTATCATTTCCACTAGCTCAGAGATTTATGGGATTGCTCACCTAGAATGCTTATTCAAACATAAGATTAATAACAATGCAGTATTTATCAGACGACTAATTTTTTTTTAATTTAAAGTAGTTTTGGAACTGTTTATAGATTTAGAATCACACCAGTTAGTAAAGAAAAACAAAATAAATTATAAATCGAAACACAACCATATCCCTCATTCCTATTTCGAATGTGGTAAATGAATTTATATGATAACAGAGGTCAATTACAGAGGTTATATATAAATTCCCTAGATTTTAAATTTTTTAAATAAAATTAATTGTAATTGATTTCGTTTGCTCAAATACAGTGTCAATTACTAGCATAGATCAAACCATCAACTTATGGCTTGTATATCTACATTTACAACTTTGTAGATCCTATATCTGCCAAGAAGATGTTCCAGAAACGCAAGGTCTACCTATGATTGCATGTCAATCTGACGACAGGACGAAGCTGCTTGCTTTCTTTGTGTATGGCAGGCTCCTGAAGAAGGTATGGATAAGGAGGAAAGAATCCTCAGAACGTCTGGAAATTCTGCTCGATTCCAGTAATAATCAAGTAAGTTTAAATACACTTAAAATATTTAACTAAGGAAGGCAAATATTCCTGAAATTTCTGGAATTTTGGCAGACATTAATGAAATCAGCTAGTATAATAAATACACTTTAGGAAAGTGTCTGCGTTCAAAGTGAAAGTAGAAGTTCTTTTGTAAAGAAACGATGCAAGAACTGGTTCGTGTTATTTTTCTAATATTAAAATTAATACAATTTTTTATAAACCTGTATTTATACTTGGCTGAGGCTGCACAATGTATTTAACAATTACATTGTTTTGGACATTGGTCAAATTGTAAAAAACTTAAAGTAGAGCCATATTAAAGATTATGATAATGAGCCAATCTGCTCGAAACGTCTTCAGAAGCATAATAAAAAATTGTTGAAAATATAAGGGCCTATTTATTCCTTGAAGACATCATATATAAGAACATTAAGTGCTCTAGAAAAATATTAGTGAAGTAGATTAATATACGTAATAAAGTTATTTCCAAATTATGAAAATAGAATTATGAGAATACAAATTAAAGCTTGGTTCCAACACTAGCGGATCCAGGATTTATTTTTGGGGGGGGGCTTCAGCCCGAAAGTTTTTTTTTTCATAAAAATAACGATAATTACTTTGGAAAAAAAGAAAGAAACTAACAACCCGTATGAAATGGTGTTTAAGTTATTCCTAAAGCCCTTTTAAATGTAATTACATGAATAATAATACTTTAAGAGATACTTTTAAAATATTTTTTTCGATAAAACATGGTTATATTTTACCATTTTGGGGGGGGCTTCAGCCCGAAAGCCCCCCCGTAGATCCGCCCGTGGTTACAAAGAAGCATTGCAAAGAAATGGCTAGTCCTAAGAAAACTGATTTTGTTGTGATTCACTATTTGTATATAATACCACCGCAAAATTATTTTTAGATACCGAATTTTTTTGGGTGATATCGATGATAAAAATGGACTACAGTTACTTTATAATACGCATTTCACCAGATATGAATTAAAATAGTTCGGTTGTTTTTTTATTTATACCTGTAAGCTAAGATAGCTGTTTTGAAATGCTTCCTTCCATTCATAGTTAAGGAACGTAAATGTATGAAAACACAGTGAATATATAGGAAAAGCAGTGAATGAGGAAGAAGAAAAATATTTTTTTTATTGTGGCTATTTATTTTACATTATGTTTTCTTCATGAATTTATACCGCGAACTAAAGATCACTAACATTAGCTCATTAATTTAGACAAAGAGATTGAAGACACAAGTTGAGACTCTGAAATCACTCTTGTCATCGGATGAACAGATAATTTCCAGTTGTTTCAGAGAAGTGCAGACACTCAAGGGGGTTCTCACTGATCTCGAAACGAAGCATAATTTCGTTCTTGAGGTATGTTTACTAAAATTTTATCCAAAGTTAACAGTTTTAAATTGTCGACAAAAAGTGATACTTTAATTTAAACTAATTAATGATAATTTAAATCTTGGCACAACTAACTAGACTTCCTCTAAAAAAAACAACTCCACGAGTTGGTTATTTATAAATTTCACTATCGGGTCTCCACTAATTTAATAATTAACTTAGCATTCCAATTTTGTATAAAAACCTGTAGACTTTCAAGAAACTATAACGATATGTTTTCATACTACAGATTTGAGGTATTAAACTTTCCTTTGATCCGGTCAGTTCCATGTTTGTTCCTTGTCCCAGGGCACCCCTCCATAATTCAAAACCCCGTCGAAACGTGCACCATTAAAATTTTTGATGAAACCCTTTTCTGGGTATCCTTACTATTCCTTAATTGAAATTGTATATTAGCAGTCCCGTACTGTTTCACTGCTAATGACAGTCTGATGCATAATGTTATCCTAGTTTTCTGATTTGTTTTTTTAAATTATTTGACGTATTACTTTTATTTAAAAACATCTGGTGCGCGCAACACACAACTTGCACTTACCGCTCAACTTTGAACAGCAATTATTTTCTGGCCATGTTGGGCTATTATAAAATTTTTGAATAGCATTTTTAACCGAGCTAAAGCTAAAAGCTTACAGCTTAATACCATTAAAATAACAAAGGTTCTATTTATTATATCACCGGTTGATTAAGGATTGTACGATCCGTTGATTATGGATTGTACCACTATTAGATATTAAACTGTTATTTTCCATTAAAAGGTTTACTAAAATGGAATTAAGAGATCTGCAATGTCTGTCATAGACAGGTCAAAAGTTGTCACACTAATCGTATGACGAAGGCAGGAGTGCCCATCCTCACCAAGATGGCGCTAGAACCTACTCTCCTCCTCTCAAGATATTTTATTACTCACCTTTTCTTAAATACAGAGCAAGTTAAGGTAGAATTAGAAAAATCGTAGATCATATACATTTGCTGCTGTATGCTCCATGTTTTCCCCTTGTCCCTCAGTCCGAAAATTCATATACCAGCCGAAATTTGTCACCCTCAAAAATTCAAAAACCCACCAAAATGTGCATCCCCAAAAATTTTTTATGGCGCAACTTCTAGCACAAATTTTCTGAGCACCCCTGCAAAGGGGAAATCCAGGGGGGAATTATTAAACTACAGTAAATGTATTTAAGGTGATAAATATAAAATATTTTTATATTTCACTTCTACTTTCATGCAAGTACAATGTAATATTATTTTAAACAATATCATTGCATTGATTCCGGCGATTGTAAATAGTTTTTCGACTAAAAAAAAAATTTAAGTTTACGTTTAATAAGAAAATTTCATTTAATTTCTTTGAAAACACGTGACTTAGAGTAAATAATGTTAGTTTTTAGAAATAAAATTATATTATAAAAAAAAAAAAATTATATTTTTTCGCTACTCTCCGTTACCTTCTACAACTTTTTATATTAGATGATGTTTTTTTTTAATCCTCCGCTTTCCAACGATATATTATAAGTATACCTTCTGATTATTATTTCCGGAAATTCATTTTCGACCTTGATAAGTATTTTTCTTTTTTTCTTCTTTATTCAATTACCTAATTCTTTTAAAAGTTATATTTAGCATTTTTTTCGTAAATCTTAATAATGGGAGATAGTTAATTATTTAAAATAAATCATATTAAAAGTACTTTAAAGGATGACGTGTACGGACATTGGGAATTTAAGCGCCGTAAAGTGATACCAATGGGGATAAGACCTAAATGATATTAAAGACCACGCAATTATACGATGATACACCGAGTTTTATCAAATTTGTTAGAGCCGTTGTTGAGAAAATCGTAAAAATGTGTTTCACCTATACGTATATATTATTACATTTAATTACAATTACATATATAGGTAAGCGAAAGTAAAAATACACACAGTATATTACAAAAATATGTTTTTTATATTGAATTTTTGTACATCAGTTGTACGAGTGGACAACTTGTACCAAATTTCTTATACATTTGAACTGATTTATTAATATTGATAATGAGTGTTTCTTATTTCATATGCATGAAAAAATAAAACGAATTGTTTAGTACGTTATAATTAAAAGGAAATTTATGTAGAGCTAAGAAATATAAAATAATCACATAAACTTGTTGAAATTATATAAAATAATTCTTATCTCGATTTCCGAGGGGCATTGGCAATTACTCACGGATACGTGTTTAATATTCTTCGAGCTGGTATCACCAAAAATATTTCAACTGAAATCGGAAATCCAACTTGATTTCATGTCCATGAACTTTCGTTGCCAGTAAAAGTTGTTGCTGTGATCTGATTCGCTTATTTTCATTACGTTATATTCATTTAATATGCACAATAAATTATGGACATTTCAAGGCCATCTCAATGAGAATTATACTCTTCGGCAGAGTAGATAAGGCACTCATTTAAACTGTCATATCTTCTCACTGACTAAAACATTTCATATAGAACATTCCTTTAATAAATAGTACCATATAATTTGCACAATAAAAGGATGAAATAATTAACGATGCACAATTCTAATTCTACGAGTACAAAATGTAACTGCTGCCTGTTCTAGATATTTAATGTAACGAACGGAAAAACTATATCAGGAGTGTCAAGATATTGAAATGCTCATAAAAATTGTTCGTAGGAAAACGATGAACTGGAGATGAGGTGTCAAAAACTAAGAGATGACCTCCTCAGAACAGAAGCAGAAGCCCATAACAACAAGAACAGTTTGATCCTTGTCAGATCCGAGATTGATAGCCTGGAAGGACAGCTTCTGAAGGAGAAGGAAAAGTCTGCGAAATTAAAGAAGGAAAATAAGTCACTTTCAGGAAAGGTAAAACATTTTGTCAGCATCGTCAATTAACGGACTTTGTCTATTCATGTTATAACTAAAAGATATAAAATTTTAATGAATTCTCGATAAAGTTCTTGAGAATGATATCCAATCCCTATATTACAGTTCTTCAATATCATACACATCAACATCATACACTTCGCGCACAGGAACATAATAATTGTAGTATATGCAATACTCGTAAAAATAAAATAATGGGTAGTATATACAATGTTATTAAATTAAAGATACTCTGTATTTAGATCGAAAACCTGACAAACAATCTGAAAGGAAAATGTGTGGCTCTAGAAAATGCAGACCAGAAGATTCTAGGATTACAGGATCAGTTAAAATCAAAGAATTTACTCATTGAGGAGTCCCTTGTCAAAGTTGAGGGAAGCGAAAGGTATAATTTAATATAAACTTAGATTATTTATCTGTTAATAGAAGTTTTAATAGCGTTATTGAAAGGAACAATGTTAGTATTCAATTTTTGTTTCAACACCATTATTTATATTAAACTCACTTTCAGAAATCTCTAAATCATTTGAGTTTTTAGGACGAATATAACACCGTATTCAATGTATAGCTGTTTTTTCTTGGAACGTAAGATTTTACTTTATTTAGAGCAAGCGATGTGATCTCGCTTACAACCCTGTGTTATTTCATGGTCCTGGTATTTAATGCTTAATATATTAATTTTATATCTTTTTCGTAAGTAAAAGCCTTGATTGGACCTTACAATAATATTGGAGGTAAAGTTGAACCTTAGGTTGCTGACAATAACCGGGTAATATAAACCAATTTCATTTCCTTCTGGAATATACAAAAGACTTGTCGACATATTGACTGACCAACAGATAATACCTGACCACCAATTCGGTTTTCGCACATTCCATTCGACGACACATCAATTGCACAGAGTTACAGACTACATTGCTGGAGCTTTAGAACAAAAACTAGATGCAACTGGAGTATTTTTGGATGTTGCTCAGGGGTTTGATAGAGTCTGGCACCAGGGTCTTCTCTTTAAACTTAAGACTATACTACCATACACGTACTATCTTATCCTTCAATTTTATCTCTTCGACAGATTTTTTTCAGTTCGGCAGGGCTCGGAAATGTCTTCAGTTCGTCCAATCTTGGCAGGAGTTCTCCAAGGTTCAATACTAGTCCCTCTAGTTTACGTTATATATACTTACGATATACCTATTAACGATGAGATCTTGACAGCTACTTATGCAGACGATACAACAATTATCACAAAACATCAAGATCCTACACAGGCTTCACTAACTCTACAACATCAATTACTTAAATTACAAGATTGCTTCACACTATGGAAAATTCGACTTAATCATGACAAACCCAAACATACAACGTTTACTCTTCGAAAAAACACCTACCCTCCAGTTTATATTGACAACAACCAAATTTCTAAAACGGACACGGTACTTTACCTTCGACTCACCTTCGACAGAAGGATGCCATGGGGCCCACATGTTAAAATGAAACGTATGACACTTAACAAACGATTCAAACTACTTTACTCTCTTTTTTCTAAATCTTCAAAACTAAAACTGAAACAGAAACTAAATACATATACATACTTACTTAAACCCATATGGACATATTCATCACAAATATACGGTATCGCAAAAAAGACCCACCTACAAAAACTTCAAACGTTCCAATCAAAATTATTAAGACTCATGACAAAAGCACCATGGTACGTGACTAACAAAACTTTACATACTGACCTCCACTTTCCAACAATTGACCAAAATATAACGTCCCTTTATCAACGATTTTACACAAATTTAAATGGACATAATAACAGACTTATAAGAGACATGGCCACAGCTGACATACCTCAGAACATGAGGAGGAGTCTAAAAGGCATTGGATGAGGGATCTCCTTCCTTAGACAACCTAAGTAATTGGAGCAAGTTAGGGAAGAGGTACTGCTGAGTACTTTCCTTCCCCATGCCATCACATTTGCTGAATGTCAACAATTAGTTGACAGGCGCAAATATATTTTTGATAGACAAAAAAAAAAATTCCTTCTGGTTGTCCAGTGCCATAAGACGTATAGCCTTTCAAAAGGTCACTTTGAAAATAAAAAAAAAACTTAAATAAGTGGCCCTTACCTCATAAATCTTTAACTACGTAAAAATATGGCCCCTCAAAAATTTTGATGACACCCTTGAGAATTAGTTCTGATGGATGTCTTGTCTGTAACCAAATACTTACTAAATGTTGAAGTTTCTATCTTGAGATGATAGTGTCTGCGCTGGGATGGCCAAATTAATATAACTACTAGGTTTTTGCCTAGTAACACTTTTATATTACATAAAGAATTGCCATTGGAATATATTGCAAATTTATAACCAACCATACATTACAATAACATTTATTTTTTTTTTAGACTTCAAAAATTTGCCACAATTTATTTCTGAGTTACTAAATTAAAGTTTAATATAATTGTTTTAATTTTTTTAAGGGCTCTTGAAAGCGCTGAAAAACAGTTGGAAATTGTGCATGCCAGGCTCAAAGAAGAAAAATACGCTTACCAAGTCATGATCCAAGAAGCAGTGTAGGTCCCATCACTTTTTTTCAGTCTAGCATCTTGCAACTATTCCACTATTTAGAGTCCAAGAAAACCAACCATTTCTATCAGATAGTCTAATCTTGCGCGAATCAAAATGATTTCGCATACGATTCATCTGCAACTTTTTTCATATGAGAGAATACTTATCCTAACTAGATAGGTAGGATGCTTATGATTTGACGATTAAAAATCCATGGTACCAGCCAATGATCCGAGATTTAGGCAGAAAGCATTTTGAAGCATATATGTCACACACAGAAAATTAATCAAAGTACTTAGAGGTTTAATTTTCTAAATTGTTATTTAATTATTTCTTGTAATGGACCGATGGTATATTAGCCCAGTAAATCTAGGTATAAAACAGGATCGATATCAAAATATTGTATAATTAGCTGTAAATGTGGAGATTAGTTCCGTATCAAATGTAGAACAAATCATGAAAACCTTGTTATTTTCTATGTCCGCTTCTATCCAAGATGGTGGATCATTAACGATGGCCAACTTTCTATCAAATTACAAAGTGCTAGCTAGATGGCCATCTTTGACCCACCATTTTGAATGGAAGCGGAGATGGAAAATGGAGAGGACTGCTTTATGATTTTTTCTACAATTGGTGTGTAACTAATAACTCATATTTACAGCTAATTATAGTAACAGCTCCTAAATATACTGGGTATATGTGAATAAATATACGTATATTTATATGTGATGATGAAGGATTCTTAATGACTCCTAAATAATAGTTTCTGCCATGCTCTGTAACATTCCATCCTACACCGAGCTTCTCCAATAAATTAATTGTAAGAGGAATATCCTACATGGTTACCAAAATTTTGAACCAAAGCCCTTTATATGAACATTTTCTCTAACAAAGTTCCTAATTCTACAATTATAATTACCTTTTAAGGGTGAAATGCAATTGGTATAGATATCCTCCTTCTCTGATTGTATCTTAAAGTCTTGATCCTCATCGTTCGTGATCCTTATCTCTTACACTAAATGCTAAAATATTCAAGAACCTAGTTGAGCCTTCCGTGTTTATGCAGTAAACTTCGGGGAAACATCTGTAATTTCTATATAATTTTCTGGCGAGTGATAAAGAGCATATTGTCAGGACATTGACAGAATACATAAGCTATGATCTATATTTTGGAATAGTTCATTATTTTTTTATTTGAATAATAACATATATTAAGGTAGATTATTCTAAAATTTCATCTTCAACAAGTAATATAGTTGACTTTATTACAGTACTAAATCGATGAACCTGGAAGCTCAACTTGCCTTATTAAAGACACCACCTTTAAAGACGAAGATCATCATGCTGACTGAGTGGTTGATTAACATACCATTGGCCCTGGCTACTTGGTAGCGATCTCTACATGTTTAATAGTGATAGCAAGAACTTAGGCGACAGCTAGTAATTTATTCCTAGATGTATCTTAAGTAAATAAACGGAGTGACCTATTTTAAATAGTCATTTATTCTAACACTAACTCTATTAATAATATAACCTAGTAGAATAGTTACTAATAGATAACTACTGTAGTGCTGGATTAATTACTGTAGTGCTAGCTACTTCTATTAGTAACACTACAATAAGGCAAGGACAAGTCCTTAACATTAAACGGTGGTTCTTCCTAGGAAAATAAATTATATTTTAAGTATTAAAGAAACGTGTTCTCTGCTAATTCCCCTTTATCTTTTGCAGACAAACATTTCTTAAAGGTAAAATCTTTTTTGTTCTTTCTTCATTTTAAACCTCAAAATTGATCATGTTCCTTAAGAGTGGGATCATTCCTACATTTTCCGCAGATTAATCTACATACTTATGAAGGGAGAAGTGGCCATCGAAAATCTGATATAAATCGGAGCTCTGTTTGCACCAACGTCTAGCGACCCTTCATTTCTGGATGAAAGTCGTCGATGTGGGCTTGATTGGACATGAAAATGTTTTTAAAAGAAAAAGGGCTTATGTGTAAAATAAAAAAATTATGAAAAGTTTAGCGTATGCATTTTATGTTTGAATAATTGTATAAATAAAGTCAAAAAATCGGTTTTTATATAGCCTACCCTTTTCTTGCAAAAAAAAAAAATGGAATTGAAACAGAATATACATCTATCTGTTTGATAAATATAACGCACTTTCGTATAATGTAGCTTATTTCTTTCAGCCAATCATGTGATCAAGAATTATATATCTATGTTTAATAAATAATGTTCACTTTCATATTACAGTTTACATAAGGATATTTTTTAAATATAGCTCAATCATAAAAACTAATTAAATCATTGAATTTTAATTTAGGATAACCATTTACGAATATGTTGATTACGATGAGCTTTTACTTAGTCACTGACAATTCGGAAACCTGGTTAGTTCCAAACCACACCACCAGATAACACTAACTGCCAAATGATTACTTTAAGGAGAGGTTTCATATTCTTATCAGCACGATCCTCTTTGGTACTGTCACCTGTTATCTGCCTGAGTGTTTAAAACGTTCCCCTGAGGTGGGCTGCTGTTACCCTGTTATCAATTTTATCACTAGAGTACATTAACCACAGTTCAGTCATAATTAAGTCGATTAGGGAGGGATTTGTTACGTGTCAACTAAGCTACCTTATTTAAGAAGGTAGCTTATAAAGATATTTAGTCAGTGGTTTTCTTCCAAGTCAAGTTTTTTTCTCCCAAATATGGATAATCCAGGTAGAAAATATTTTAATTATTTATTTAATGAATGCATATACATTTTTTAAATAGCATACCGAAATAAGACACTCTTAAGTGTAACCATGCTCTCTTGTCAATTTTTAAAAATTATTTATTTAAATTATTAAGACATTTGATTCCTTGTGGTGAATTGATAAATAAAAATTATCAATTAATTTGTTTGGCTTCTTTTGTTGGAAATAAATATTGATAATGCACCATCATGTAATATACACTAAAACAAATGCATAAGTGTGATAACCATTATCTCTGTTTTATATAAGCAAAGTATTTTTTTGTTTTATTTTATACGATGATGGGATGTTGTGAAATAACAATATGCACCTGCTGCTAAGCAGATAATTCGTATGATTTGATAAAAATTATTTGATGTTGAAATTATTATAAGCATTTAACAATTCAAAAAACCTGTTTCTTCAGGGATTCTGCTATGAAATTATCTAAAATCAAATAATTTTAAAAAAAATATTTTATTGATTAGTATAACATCCTGTCAAAACTACATTGGAAATAAGACATAAGGATTTATTACTTTATTATTTATTGGCAATGTTGATTTATAAACTGGTCTTAAATTGCCAACTAATTTAATAGACTGAATTTTAAAACTTAAGTCACATTTTCATTAACTGTAATATTAAATTTAATAATTAATTATTTAATTTTATAAACTAATAACAGATAATTTCTTTAAGGTATCAATTTCTTATTATTTAGAAGATCTTTTGAAACTTGATTAATACTGAAAGTTTTTGGTTGTAACATTGATAGTTATTTAGAATATATTTTACTTTGCTTTAAGGTATACATGAAATTAATAAGATGTTAGATTTAGATAAAATGCTGTCTCTAATGGGGGATTCAGAACATCATACATTTTATAATGTTTTTATTATAACAGATATGTATACATTTTATATGAACATCCTTTGGTTTTACAAAAGAAGCTTTTGGATGTTTTTTAAACTGAATATAAAAATAGGCTTTATTAATATTATATGAAATATTAGGGGATATTGATAAAATGGCAACAATGTCATTTCGAGAAAACAGAAATATCATAGCTATATTGGAATTTTAATGTGCATAATTAATTCATATTTGATTTTCAAACAAAGGTGAGTTGTATAAATTGCTAGAATGATATAAATTTTTAAATAAAGTTCCTATTTGAAACCAATCTAATTCAGCAAAAATCTATCAAGTTATCCAAACTGATTTCATTCATTGATTTAATTAAAATGTCTATTTTTCCTAATAGTTAGCATTTCTAGTCCGGTTTTTAAAGTTATCATTATGTTTCTCTCATGTTAATTTAATGATTTTCCTACAGAGTCAGTTCTGCCAGCTGTGAAAGAAGAGGAAAAAGATGAAACTGAGGAATATTTAGCTTTGACATCACGTACGTTAATAGTATTGTTCATTTATTTTTAATTTATTTATTAATGATTCTGCTGTTATACTTTCATAACACCGTCAATATAAAATATTATCATTCCATATAGGATTAATGTTTGTACTATTTATAAAAAAACTGGTAGTAAATACATTAGAAATTTATGATTATTTACCAAATTCAATAATTACAAAATTAATGTGAACTTAGATGATGAAACTGTCCTGACTTCAATTAAGAAAGAAAATGATTTGCTGCTCGAAAATAGTAAGTTGTTAATTAATTTTATAATTTTTGCTTTTGTGGTGTCATTATCTTTATTTCTAATCTTAAGTTTTATTACAGATCAAAACCTGAATGCTGTTAAAGATGAAGAAACTAATAAAGAAAATGAAGTTATTACAGAAAATGGTTTGTTTTTTAAAAAATTAAATCTTATTTGAATCTAGTACTTTATAAACTCATCACAAATAATTTAAATGATAAACTGAAGTGTAATAAATGATAAACTTTTTGCATTGCTTTATATCGTTATTTTATTGCAAAAAGTACATTTTTCTTATGTTAACTTTCAAAAATATTTTTTATGAATTTTGATTTTATTTATCGATACCGAAACACTGTAAGGGCGTGAAAATGAAACAAACCATTTTATACATCAAAAATAGTTACAACAAGCGCACAATTTTCTGATTTCATAAAGGAAAAATTGTTCTAAGTTCTTGATTGGTTACGTTAGTGAAATATCATTTAATACATTTTTGCAACGAACCGACGATATTAAGTTCCATATTATGTAAAATGTATTTTATTTTGTGTAGTAGTATTCTTTATGTTTTAAAAAGTTATTTTTTTTATAATTATATTTATTACCTCATATTAATCATACTTATTAGGCTCTTTGTATTTTTTAAACTCATAAACTTTTAATGTTTTAGATAAATCTGAAGTCACTCCTTGTGAGATATATATTAAAGAAGAAGTTGAAGATTTTGAAGAAGGTAATTTTTATATATTCTTAGTTGTTTTTTTGAATTAAAAGATTACGATTTTGGCTGCGGCCTAGGTTAAAGAATTATCTTTATCTTGACAATTTCATGGTATATATCAGGTCATTTTATAAGTTATCGGAGTTCTATTATTTTAGAACTTTTCTTATATGATTTAATAGTTGGTTGGCAAATTGGATTAATCTCAATTGTTTCGCAAGTTCTTAATTTTCAACTTTACCTTTATTTTTATTTTTTTTCTACCACATGCTTTATATTTTTTGTCTAATCTGCTTTAAATGATAGGATGCTGTTCCAAATGGGTGATTTGGAAATTGACACAAAAATCGAGTTTTAAATTTCATGAAAAAAAAGTATACATAATTTTCATGATTCTCTTTTAGCTAGTTCCTAATCATGCTGATAAAAAATCCATTCATAGACATCAATCTAAATAGAGATAAAGAATGATAATTGAAATCATGAAGGTAAGAGAGAATCTGACCGACCAGAGTCCTGCGCTATACAAAAATCATATAAACGATTTATACTCATATACTCACACACATATAATACATGCACAAATGTATATATATGTAAACAGAAACTTTTTAAGATGGCTAATGGACTCAGAAAAATTGAGAACTTGTATCACTTTTAGTTCCTGATTAATCAAGGAAAATAGCTACTGCAAATGGCTGCTGCTTTGCTTTTTGAAAACTAGTTCGTATCAATAATCAATGTAGGGTTGGCAAAGTAACAATAACAATTTATGAAAAATTAATGGATACCAGTAAAATTATAACGATGGCATTTAGAGAGAACATAGAAATATCATAAAATAAACTATATTTTCAATGGAAATTAAATTTCCAAAATGAATTGACATCATTAAAACATAAAACTTCCCAACTAAAACCAAAACTAAGAAGGGACTATTTGTATCTATACAGAGGCTCTACAGTCCTGTAGGGCTTTTGTCTCCGACACTATGCTTATCCACTCGTTTCTGTCAGCTACGTACTTTCTCTATCTGCTCAGTGTAGGTCTGCCTCTACATCATCAAGCCATCTCAGATGTGGTATTCTTTTTGTTTGTCTTCATTCTGGCAATTTGTATTGTAGCCTTAGTAGATGATATCCTGTCATTCTTTCAACATGATCAAGCTAACATATTCTTGCCTGCTAAATGCCAAAACATCATCCCCTTACCATTATCTGTTGAATTTCTTCACTATAGTTCTGATTCATTTATCCATATATTATACAGAGGACCTTTCTTTCCCATTCTTTTATAATTTTTCATTTTCTTGAGCTACCACTGGCCTATAGCACTTATATTGGCGGGATTATTTGTCTATATATTAACAACTTTGCTTACAAGATAGATTTGGAAAACCTTAGAAAACAAGAGCCTTCTGGAGTGCCAGCCTTACTTTTATTTCTTGTTTAATGTTATTTTTTTCTGTGACACTTGTTCCTAAATACTCAAATTGTACACATTATTGAAGTTCTGCTTAAATATTTCAATGTAAGGGTGCTTTTGCCTTTCATTTCTGGAGAATCTCATGTATTTGGTCTTGAATGATATACACATAATGATATGAAAACCAAGTTTACGTGCTGCATCATAGGTGTATTGTCATCATCCAAGGTCTATCTATCTGTTTCTTTTAAGTAAACAAGCTTGAGGACACAGCATCGCCTTGTTTAGGGCCAATTGACCTCTGGAGTGGGCATCCTGAATCCTCACTTGACACATCATTTTTGAAAGGGCCCTCTTTGCAAGTTATACTAGTTTCCGTGACAGTCCCAAAGCTTTCGAGCTTTTCAGCAGTTCTCATCTATAATTAGATCTTAAACCTTCTTAAAGTCCACAAATATGTGGTGCAGATTGATAACCTCATATGTTTTTACCAACATTATCCTCCTTGAGAAGATACGGTCGATTGTTGATCTGCAAGGCCTGAAACCGCTTTGGTATTCTCCAACCAGCAGTCTTTTGTTTTACACCGCTTATAGTATTTTATATATGGCACTATATAGTAGGAGATCTATAACTCTATAAGTCTGTCCCCTTTTTTGTTATATTTGGCATAGCAGTGTGTTACTCCATTGCTTGGGCATCTGTTCAATCATCTAGTTGTCATAAATAAGACATAGTGTGACGTACATCTCACCAGTCACACTATCACTGTCAAAATTGAATAACTGATTGATGCTTTATGTTTTATTGAGAGATTGTATTATCTCTTCCTTCTGTGAGAATTCATCATCTGCATTGTCTTGCGAGTTAAGAGTCATTAATTTTTAGATCATCAAAAATATTAATTGTAGATTCTTTACATTTTATACCAATCAATGGTAGGCTAGTGAATGTACATTTCATGAAAACTAATAAGAATATTTTAGATATTTATTCCTAATATTAAAATATGATTTAAAATTCCTAGTATTCAATTTCATTTAAACTTCTTTCACCAGATGTTATTTATCTCTTAGCACATCTTTTAAAATTATACAATAGTTGACATTAACATGGAAATAAAAATGCATTTTGTTATATTTCACTCCTAGGTTTAAAATGTTTTTATTTACTCTTACAGATTCTGATGAAGATACAGAATCCGAGGATGATGAAGAGGATTTTTACAGTAAGCCATTATTTTTTCAATTTAATGTCTTTTAGTTTTGATATTTTTTATAACTTTTTAATTTTTGTTATTTTTATGAATTGAATTTTAGCTGCTGCCGAGTATATCAAACAACAAGAGCGAATTCTGATTCTTAATGCTGCAAGTAAGTATCTTCAACTTGTTGCTGGTCTCTTATGAGAAGTAAAAATATCTTTGTTAATTAAATCGTTTTCATAAATATTTAGAAAATATAAGGTTACCCATAACTCTTAATTGAATTATATTAGAATTCCTGTTTTTTATGATTTAAAGAATTATTTATATTTAATATGACTCTGTTGATTTCTAAGAATTTTCTCTGTTGAAAATTTAAGTTAAGAAAATATTATTGCTTATGATCACAACTTATATCATACTTTTATCTTTTACTACTCTACAGGTGGGCCAAATATAAAAGAAAAAATCTATTCCTGTCACTTGTGTGATTTTAGATCTGCTTATGCATCAGCTTTAAAAAAACACATAATGGCCCTTCATACTAAAGAAAAGCCTCATCCTTGTTCACAATGTGATTACAAAGCAATATCCAGCAATCATTTAAAGAGGCATGTTATGTTCCAGCACACTAAGGAAAGGCCTTACCCCTGCCCCCATTGTGAGTACAGAGCTGTGCAAGCTGACCACATCAAAAGGCATATTATGTCCCAGCATAGTAAAGAAAAGCCGCACCAGTGTCCCCAATGTGAATATAGAGCAGTGCAAGCTGACCATATTAAAAGGCATGTGCTAGTTCATCATAAGCATGAGAAGCCTCTTCAGTGCCCTCAGTGTGAATTTAGAGCTGTTCAAAGCAGCACCATTAAAGTTCATATCACTGCTGTTCACAAAAAAGAAAAACCATTCAAGTGTCCGGATTGCGAATACAGAGCCGTACAGAAAGGTCACATACAAACCCATATAATGGTCCATCATTCAAAAGAGAAGCCCTTCAAGTGCCCTCAGTGTGAGTATAGAGCTGTGCAATCGGGGCATATTAAAGCACATCTATCAGCATTTCATCTTAAAGAGAAACCTCACCAATGTCCAAAATGTGAATTCCGTACCGGATATGTCAACAGTTTAAAACAACACATCGCGCGGCATAGAAGTGGCTTGGCACCCTAATGTCGACTGTGAATTCATTAACAGAAGATGTTTTATTAATGATTCACATTATTTGTTTTTATTAATAAATTTTAATTAACATTTCCAAAGTTCTATTAACATTTAAATAAGTTAAGGTGTTTATAGGAATGGGATCAAAATTTAACTTTATAAATTTAATGTAAGACTTCATGGATGGATATTATATATTTTTGCAAAGAGTGTTGTAAATAAATTATTTTTATAACATTTATATTACGTGTTTCCTCTGAAATTAGCAGTTGGTAAAATAAAATGTCACTTGTTAAAGCAAATTCATCGCAAAATATTATTATTATTCCTTAGTTTCAGAAGTAAATTTTATAAGTTTTGGATAATTTATAAACAAATAATTTCACATGTATTTAGGTAAGGAATAACCATTAAATTAAATATATTATATAATAAAATTAAAAAAGAGTGAAAATATCAGTTGTGATTCTGTCAGGATTTAACAAATCAACAAATCATGAGCTTATCTTCTAATTCATTCTTTTTCTGGCTAGCTCACATCTTATATAAACTTAATTGTGCGTTTTTGGGGGAAAGGAAAAGAAATTATATATAAATTATATCACTTACTATTTCAGAACTATCCACAAAAATTATCAAACAAGAATAATCATTAAAATAATATATTGTAATAATATAATATAAAACATACCAATTTATTCATAAAAAATAGTCTATATTTTCAGTCAACTGATATTTACAAAAAAACAACAACATAGAAATAATGGATTTTTATTCTATAAGATAATAAAAGTTGTTCCTCAAATTCTTCATTACTATGAAACTGTAGTTTATTATCCCATACTAATTCCTTCTTATTGATTCCTTGCTGTCAGTTTGACATTTGGGCCTTTTGATGTACGAAGAAGCATTTCTGGATTTACTTCAAGGTTGCTGTCAGATTCTATCTTATAGTTCAATACAACATGTGATATTATGGCTTTCAGGTCCAACATGGCAAATTTTTGACCTGTAATAGATACTATATTTTATAAAAATTGGTTTAAGTGAACAAAATTTTCAATATAGAATAAAAAATATATGAGTGGCTTTATATCAAAGATGGACATCTGCTATTTTTAAAAAGTTGAGAAAAGGCCAACTTTCTGTAACATATCTTCAATTTAAACCAATTCCAGTGAGTCTGATTCATTATAAAACTTGAATATTCTTAAAAAGAATCATCATAGACAGTTTGAGTTGAATCTATAAAACAAAAATTGACTTTTCACTTCACTTTCTATAAAAAACAGATACCTTTCTTTGATATGAAGCCACTCATATAATAGATATATTAAAAAGCACTGTATTGTTTTAAATGCTGTTACCAATAAATAACAAAAATAGTCCTAAGTGTTACGTCTGGTTGAAAGGCTAAGATCACATCACTGATACTGTAGATGGAATGCCGAAATCATCCGAATGCTGACAGCTTATGTTCCTGGATGCACGGGCGGATCTACGGGGGAGGGGCTTTCGGGCTGAAGTCCCCCCCCCCCCAAAATGGAAAAATATAACTATGTTTTATGGGAAAAAAAAATTAAAAAATACCTCTTAAAGTATTATTATTCGTGTAATTACATTTAAAAGTACTTAAGGAATAAATTAAACACCATTTCATATGGGTAGCTAGTTTCTTTTTGTTTTTCCAAAGTAATTATCGTTATTTTTATGAAAAAAAAAGGTTTCGGGCTGAAGCCCCCTCCCCCAAAATTAAATCCTGGATCCGCTAGTGTCTGGATGTGTTGACTACAGTCATTCTAGGGCTAATCAAATCTCCAAAAGATCCTTCTTAGTTGAAGCCAGAGTCTTTCCAAGTAGGATTTCTTGTCAGTGGAAACAGACCCTTTTCAGTTTATCATCAAATACCTTCCACAATTTATTTCTAAGGAAGATCTGGAGAGCCGTTGCCTCCGTATAATTTTAGACATACTTGGATACTCTCGGGATTTATGTACAGTATAATTGATATTATTTTCAACTCTCTTTCAACCAAATGTCTCTCTTGTGAATACATACCAAAATGAAATTATCAATAAAATCAGCAGTGATATTAATCTGAAGATGTTATTATTTTTTAATTTTGATATATAATTGAAGAGTTGTCCTCAAGGACCATCTCATACTGATTCAAAGACTTTTAGTAACAATGTTAAACAGCTCTTTTAATTTAAAATGACACTTTTTGTTATTTTAATCGATTGACAGTAAATGAGTCATTTTTCAATGGAATTAGGATTCTGGTAATAGATCCACTCTCCATAATACAAAAAAATGGTTTAGTGAATAAATTTCCCAGTGGATTTTTGGGTAAATATCACTGTATGTGGCAATAATGAACCATTAATCTGTTTCCAAAAAAAATAAACTCAAAACAGAACTAGGTATAATATTGATTAGTTAGGTTAAGGAAGCACCTATACAGTTCCGAGGCCCTGCTGAGAAGGGAATGTAAGCAAAAGGATGCTTGGCAGGTTCCAAAAACCGATCTGGGTTGAACTTCTCTGGCTCTGGAAATAAATCTTCCCTTCTATGCAGCAAGTAGACAACTAAGTCGACCTGTGCTCCTGCTGGTATAACATATCCACCTAAAAAGTTAATTGCATGATAAATATAAAATAAATAAAAAAATATATAGTAAAATAAGTAGAGATGATCTATGAATAATGATATTATTACTGAGGCAAATAGAATTATTAATAAAAACTCCAATAACATTTATAGAATCAGAAAAATTATATAGAGTTTTGATAAGCAAAACAGAAAAATAAAACTTATATGTATAGTATTTTTTTTTTCTCCAGAATCTAGATAGACTAGATTATTTATCTACACAGAATGTCTAAAAATGATATTTACTGGTAGGAAGGACAATGTCTTGTGTTGCTAGCCGTCCAAAAGCTGGTACTGGTGGATAGAGCCTTAATGATTCCTTTATTATCCTTTCTAAATAATGCATCTTATGGTATACATCAATAGTCAGCTCACTATCCTCTGTAATTTCTTTTAAATCTTTATACAATTCTTCCTGTAATTACAAGCGTGTTTAAAATTCATTTAAAAGAAACTCAAGGATATAACCAGATCTTTAGATGAGTCTGAGAGTTTCCGAAATTCGCTATCCTTAATTAACAAAAAGTAAAGCCTTTTAATCCAATCTAAGATCTGTGTTGGAAAAATAAAATAAAAAAAATGAAATGATTTATAAAACTACTTTATAACATTAAAATATGAAAACCTGACCTACGGCAGGTGTTGATTCGTATGATGTATTATTTAAAAAAAATTAAATATCTTAATATCATTAAGTATAACAAAACACCATTTATTAAATTCAGAAAGTTATTTTTAAAAATTATCTTTGACATAAACCCTTTATAATATTCTAAGGGAAAAGTGAACGTAGATTTACCTGTATATCTGGATGCATTCCAATAAGCCAGATTGTATAGCTTAATACTGTAGTTGTAGTATCATGGCCCTAAAAAAAAAAAAATGTAAAATTTAGAACTAATACATTCAGCATTAAAAATTAAATATTGCCTCATATATCTGACACCACTAGTATTCATTTTTATTTTTATTTAATTAATCATTAATAATAATAACAAAATTGTTACAATTTATAATAATTCACTCCAGATATAGTGCACAATATCCAGAAGAGTGAAATTATATTTGACAAATGATTCGAATTTGGTAATTTTTCAAAACCCAGTGAAATAATAGCCTAATGTCTCATAAAATAAACATGTCTCAAAATATGATAATGACATTATTTAAAAGTCTTAGAATAATGATTAACTTAAAATTAATTAGACTAATTAATTTTTAAAATTATTGAAGGAAGTTAAACTAAGGAAGTAAAACTGGTAATTTGTTTTAATCCTGACTATTTTACCAGTAGTATGTTCTAACATAAATTAGCTCCCAAATATTTAATTTCTTTTAATAATTTATTTAGTAAATAATAACTTGCCTCGAACATGAAAGTCATTACTTCATCCTTAATGTCTTTATCAGATCGGAAACCTGGAATATTTTTTTGTTTCATTTCAAGAAGCATCTCCAAGAATGCAGTCTTCTTCTTAGCACCTGCCAAATGTTTATTTTTTTTAATGTTCATGATAGATTACATAATAAGCAAGAACTCACACTTACCATAATCCTCTTCCAATGGTTCTGTCTCATTTAAAGTGTTAATTTTTTCATTTTTCTTTTTTTCAAGTACCTGCATAAATACAATTACATAACTCTTTAAAAAAAATCGCATTAATCACATTTAAAATTTTGAATAAATGAAATTATAAAAAAGAAAATAGTTATACAAATCGTTTGGGCATTAGCCTGGATAACTCCTGCATTCAGAATAGAGACACATGGACACATGTGTAAAACAGAGTAAAACAGATTAAACTAATATTCTAGGCCTCTGGAAAAATTTTCTTTTAACATCTTTTTTTGGATTAATATTAATAGTTTTTTTTTAGGGTTTCTCACCATCTTTGAACATTAATAATTATATCATAGTCATAATCACTCAAAATGTGTAAAATTGTTAAGCTAAAATCTCCAATTTTGTTTCATTTATAATATTAAAACATAGAAAACTTATATGAACATTTTGTGTTCTAACTGTCGGATTTACTGCATTTTGATTTTTGGATTTCTACTGCATGGAAATTCTGTCTCTAGTTTAGCCATTTTTCCTTCCTCAGAGAAATTGGAGATGATGACACAAACCCAGAAATGACAAAAGGAAAGAATAATAGAAAGTAGAGACCATAGGTAGGAAATCTGCAGAATCTGTAGCAATGTGGGAAACTCCAGATATGTGTTCAAATCAGTGGCCTCTATAAATGTTTTTACTTTTTTAAAAAATATATAAAAATATGCTCAATGAAATATAAATAAATTTATTATCACTGCTTGACTTAAATGTGGCCTCTAATGATAATAAAAAGTTTCCTCACCTATCAAGGAAGCCTTTTTCATAGTTCTGTGCAGCAATTAACACTTGTTCTAAGCAACACTTGTCAGTTAGCCATTCAAATATTATTTGATTAATATTAAAAAATTAATACCACAATCAAATATTATCTTAGGATTCATGCAGTTCATTAGTTTTTGTTCACATTTATATATTAGGCACTGCTTTATAACCAACTATAGGTTTTCTAATATTAGTACAGAAAATACTGGTCTGCCATTAGCCTTCGATAATTTCAATGTCATGATTTCAAGAACTCTCTTTTGGCCTGCCACATTTTATTAAAATAATTGTGCACTCCATGTTTAAACGTGATCCTTTGACTCCTAATCATATAATAAATAACTCCTAATAAAATAATCCTAGGATAAGAACAGTTTTCAGCAATCTAGATATCAAGATCATAAATATTATTATAGCTGTTTTTCTTCTGTCTTCTTCTCTCAAATGGTCAGGGCAGGAATTAAAATGAAGAATTCGGTAGTCCTAAGATTGGCTCCACTGTTTATAGTTGCATTTGTGACTGATTCGTCAATATATATATAAAATAGAGTTCATGAGTCTTTTGGGTACTTGGTATTTATATGTTGGAGGGAAAGAGCAGTTAAATAAATACAATTTAAAATTGGATTTAAACAGCTGCTTAACTCAGGCTTAAGTTTTAAGTTTAAGAAATTTAAAACAGTTTATTTCATATAGTAATTTTATCTTTACTTCAAGAGGGAGTGAAAAAAGAACATCCAGGTGTTTTGCCTCCTCCTTTCTTCGTCCAGAGAGTGTATAAATAGGTTCCATACTCAGCAGAGGGTTTCTAACCCGCTCAATCAGATATTTAGTCATTCTAAACACAAAAGCAGTTGCAGTTAAAGGCAAAAACATTTTTATTTGAATGAACTATATAAATGATAAGGTTTTCTAGTTTATTTAATTTCCTTTTCTTTTAATTATATAAATTTCTTGTTTATGAAAAAGTTTTTGGTATGACATCTTTGTGTAAAAAAAATTAATTTATGATTGATTCTCTGCTATGGTATATAAGTATAGTACACAGGCGGATTTACGGGGGGGGGGAGGGGGAGCTTTCGGGCTGAAGCCCTCCCCAAAATGGTAATATATAAACATGTTTTTTTAAAAAAAAGTATTAAAAACTATCTCTTAGAGTTATTGTTCGTGTAATTACATTTAAGGACTTCAAGAATCACGTAAACTCTATTTCATACAGGTAGTTAATTTCTTTTTTTTTTCAAATTAATTATTGTTTTATGTAAATAAAAAAAAAAATCTTTCGGACTGAAGCCCCACCCAAAATTAAATCCTGGATCCGCTAGTGGTATAGTACATAACTTCACCAAGAAAGGAATCCTATGGAGTTTCACCATTATTAGTCTAACCTATGGTTCTGGGATTGAAAAAAAGGTTTTCTTATTTTAATCTTGCCAAAGACCCATTAGCTGTTATCAATATAAAACAATGTATGTAAACTGAGTAAAGATCATACTGCTTCTCAACTATTTATTTGCTTAATGTTTGGATTAATTACTCTTATTCAAAAGATTTTAACTCAATCTGAAACGAACCTTCAACATGATACAACTTGCAATTATATTTATGATGAATGATTTTATGGAAGACCATTGCGCATCATTTTACCATTAAATATATTAGAAGTTGGAACCTATTATTAATACATCTGAAGGAAAAGTTAAAAGCTTTAACATAACAGGTACTATCTTTATATTAGTAAATTAATTTTTTTAGAACATCTTATCTTTAATAATTATCAATCAATAAATATGAGCTAATAATAAAAAATGATATTCATAATTATGAATACATTTAATATTAATCTTAAATAAAATTTGTAATAATTATTAATTTTGAAAATAATTGATGTTATTTCAATAACTGTATAATTAATATTGAGTATTAATAGATAATTCCTTTTTAATATTTACAAATACTTGAAACTCTCACAGAGTTACCATGGTTAGACAGAAAAATAAATTATTAAATATTTTTTAGGAAACGGTATATTTCCTCTTTAATAGATCTTGATGATAAATATCAATACATAAATTCATCATATTTATTAATACTTAAAAAATGAAGATTTTTAATACCTGGACAGAGATCTTGGGTATTTCTCTAATGGGTTGGTTTGGGCTTTTATCTCAGTGCCCATCGCAGTTTCTTTAAAAAAAAAAAATAATAAATAAATAAAAAGTATAAATATCTCACAAACACATAGTTTCATAAAACTCAATTTTTTTTCTCAACTCAACATAGTTTAAATCATAAAAATACTGCAAATTATTGCACAATGATTTATTATTTTCAAGTATTTATGAAACAAAAATATCAATTGTGTTCTCTCACACAACTTTTCATTTTTAAGTAAAAGTCCCATAGGTGATTTGTTTGTGATAATAAGAATATGTTTTATGATTAGCTTTTTATATAATTATATTATCTTAAATTAAATTTCAATAATGGAGCTGGAATGTCTGTGCTGATTTATTTATTATCAATAAAAACAGATTTTTGGAAAAATTAGTTTATGCCACCTCTACAGTTTCTTCTCATAGTAATTCAGTCTTCCGATTTGTTTATACATATTATTATACATACATAGTTATTGCTGATTTATTTATCATAAATAAAAACAGATTTTTGGAAGAATTAACGAATGCATCGTCTGATTCTTTTTTCTTTTGCTTGCTACTGTTTCTTCTCACAATTCTTCATTCTTCCAATCAGTTTGTTCAAATCTTGTTATCAGAAATTTATTAATAAATATTGACCAAATTTAATTTCAAGAAATCTTCCACCTAATTCACTTACACAGGATTTTTAAACATAATGAAGCTTACAATAGTATATATATATATATATATATATATATATATATATATATATATATATATATATATATATATATATATATATATATATATATATATATATAAAAAATGCCTCATATAGATTTCTACCAAATTATCTATTACCTGCTATAGCATCGAGAGCACAGTTGGACATGTAATCTATTATGTTGAAATAACCCTTATCAGCTTTATCCTTTAGACAGTTCACAAGAGTGTTTGCACATTTGTTGAATGTTGGTATAAACTTTTCGAGAATCTTAAAATGAAAGGTTGGTGTAATAGCTTTACGTCTCATTTGCCATAAATTACCTGTTGAAAAGACAAATAATATAAACACAAGAAATATTTGATGAGTGAACCTATAATTCTATTATATGTGATGTATTTAGAATACATATGAGTGAGTATATATAGATATATGGAGTGAGAGAAGAAATCCAATTTATATGGCTATCATCTAAATACTTCTTAGGCTATTTCCTAATTGGCAAAGCGTCAGGCTAGCGTATGGTGTTGATGGATAATGAATTGTACATTGAAATAAATTTTCTATAAATAATGTTGCTGCATCTTCTCATATAACTTCAAATATTGCATTAATACATCTTGCGATATTATGCATGTTTAATTTTGTTTTTTAATAGGACAAAGCCTTGGTTTTATTTAATCAAAGCTCATAATTTATTATTTACCTGTGGATAAAAGGAGTCCCATACCAAGCCAAGAATCTAATAATTTATAAGAAGTTGATTTAGTTATCAGTGTCTGACTGGATAGAATCATCTAAAAAAGTGAATAGTAATTATAAATTATATATTTTATTATAAACAAAATTTAGTGGCAAATAAAGAAAATAAGATGAATCATAATTAAAATTAAAATAAAAGTCTTGAGAATTATTTAACTGTTTTGAAAACTAACCTGCATATCATCTGGTTCAGATACAAAAATATGCAGTTCTGGTCCCAGCCAAAATCTCATAGTGTATCCATATTTCTTTGAGAAATTTGACCAACACTGTGGAGCATCTATTGTGAATAAATTTTTTTAAGAATAATTTAAAGTTACTTAAGTCCAATAGCATACCAGAGTTTAATTTTTTTGTGTGGGGAAGGTTTAGTTTTTTAAATTTTAATAGCAGTAATTATTCTTGATGAAGTTTTGTAGATATACTGGCACGAATAAACTAGTTTTAATTGTAAGTTTATAAAAGATATTCCAGAATTACTTATTACTAAAATAATTGTTTTCTAGGACTTAACTTACTAGGTCCAATGATCTGAAAGTTGAATATGTTGCCAACAATTGGATATGTTCTTGGACCAGGAAAGCGGTTACCTAATTCCCTCAGTCTTTTAGGGGAAGAAAACATCCACCATAGGATAAAAGCACCAAGCGCCAGAGACAGCAGAAGGAATTCCATTCTAATGTTAGAAAGTAAAACATTAATAAATAAATGATTAAAAACATTCCACTATTGACTATTAATATAATTAAAAGTAAGTATATTATTATTTACATAACATCTAAACCACGTATGGTCAACTGAAAACATTCATGGACTATATTACTGAATGTAAAGTAATTGATTCACACTTCGGGCAAATACACTTTTAAAGAAGCTAGTGCAAATAATAAAAAGTATAAAACATAATTGATATATTATGATATAATATAATAAATCTATGAATGCTAATTAATGAGATATTTGTAAATTAATTTACTAAAATTTTCAGTTTCTTTAATAACATTTATCATTTACGTGTATCAAATAAAAAACAGGAATTTATAAATACAAAGTTTTTATAAATTTCTTTGTTTATAAAAACGTATTCCTCCAGAGACGTACAATTTTTCTTGTGTTATTTGATGTTCAATAATTTAGTTAAGGAAGAGTTGAATATTATTTTAGGTACAATGTTTGAAAATTTTCTCTTCCGTATATGTTATTTATTTATCTCTCCTACGTTTCGGACTCTTTGCCCATCTTCAGAGACATTTCTTTCCCTTCTTAATATTTTTCTTCTATCTATATTCTTCTAATGCGCATTTCGACAGAGTTTTTAATATTCAAAATGAAAAGTTTCAAATTAAAAGACAAGTGAAGCATGGAACAGACCGCAATATGTGTAATTTTAAATAATCTAAAAATATTTACATTCTACTTTCATTTTAAGAAGAAGAGAGGAATAATCTTGGGAGGGGCGGGAAAGGTTTATGGCCCATCGGCTTTGGGAGGGATGGGCACCCCTGGACAGATAAATAAATAACATATACGGAAGAGAAAAGTTTCATAAGTTGTACCTAAATACAATTTTTCATTTACTTAATATCTTTATATACGTACAGCAAGAAATAGAAGCTTTAATAGAAATACAAAACTGCTGGGCATGCCACACAAATTAACTGGCGAGTCCGTCCATGGCGAGTATACGGACGTACACTTAAAACCTAGCATAAACTAGTAAATTGAATGTTTTTTTGGATAGTTTTTTTGATGTTTGAACATAGGAGGATTTGGCTGATCCAAAGCAGCCACCGACATGAACTTGGTTATTTTATGGATTGCACCAGATCGCTCCAAATTACGGTTGTTTGTCTTTCAAAGTTTTCATATCTATAGTTCTCTTTAAGTGCCTTCCTTGTATAGAGTTTTTGTGATTTTTTAACCAAACTATTATGGATAGTACCCCATGTTATAAGTAATTAAATTTCATATTATATTAATTTTTATCTATCATAAATATTGTTTGAGAAGTTATGGTAAATTCGTTAAACTTAACGCATTTAAATTAACTTTGTAAGATCTTATAAAAGTTCACCCCACATCATTTCTATCCTTTTTACATTTTTTAATTACTATTCATCTGCCTGTGAAGGACAAGATAGAAATCTTGCTCGGACTAGTATTAATTTTTTTAAATTTATATACAACTTTTCTACCAAACACAATCAATATCCGATTTTTTTTTTTAACTGATCCTGCAGGTACCATATTTATTTGTAGACTAAGAAGGAAATTATATGACACTAAGAAGTCATTGAATAAAAATCTATGGAGAAATTAGATTATCTTAAAGAAAGCTATTTATGAACTACGAACTGCCCTATCAATACATGATGAGAGCTTTATAACAAATTATAAATTTTAAGTATATTGATTTAAAATATAACGAAAACAAAATTTAAGAACAAACAGCAGACAGACAACCAGTCAGAAGGTAGATTCCTTAAGAAAAAAAGCGATAGTCTGATAAACTGATTAATTTTGAAAGTTTTCAAGTTGATTGAATGAATGCACGGCGCCAGCTCAGGCATTTTCAGGATGTACAGAAAGGACAAAGGGGAATTGGACCGTGGAATTAGGTTACTAACATTAAATGTGTTGATATAAGCAAGTTATTTTATATTTTGAAACACATCCTCCCTAAATAGAAATATGATGGAATTCCGCATAAAACAGAGAAATAGTTTAATAATGTTACTAATTTCATCCGGTGACCGCGGTCTGTATTATAGTAAAGGTTTATGTCATTATTACCAAATTTCTGTCTTACTAATTATAATAGAATATATTCGTATAAAATAGTTTATTTTTTATTTAATTTTGTTTGTGACTCCTCAAAGTGACTCCCCAAAACAATTTCTGGATCCAACCTTGACTGTAACTGATTTTATATTATTTTATAGACCATTTAAGTTATTATTTGCTATAACTATAAATGCCACAAATTTTGTTCATCTGCTCACTATGGGACGGCCTACAGATCGTGGTTCGTCTATGCCTGATCTAAATAGTTAACGCTAAAAACAAAAATAATGAAAAGTGCTCTAAAAATATTAAATAACTGATAAATCTTGTACCAACTGTTATAGATAGGAATCATTTTATACATTTCACAAACAAAGGGAGACACAATTATCTAACTTAACTAATAGGGACATTAGAGCTGAGCTAAACTTTTTTTTAAATTTCTCTTGTTACCAATAGTAAATACAAAAAACAAGAAACGAAAACACTAGCATAGCAAAACAGCCATTTAAATATTTATGTTTGCCATATTTTGTGAAATGTCAAAACGCTCATTAAAAAAAAAAAAAAAAAAAAAAAAACTGGCAATTAATTATTTATAATCTTTTATTTAAATTATTTTTTTATATAATTCCTTTTCAAACAACACATTCAAGTAGTTTTCGAAAACACTAATCCTAGGTGCCTAATGTTTGGTCAGCAGCCTGAACTTGAGCCATTGAAGTTAATACATTTTAATCAAACCTTTTTCGTGACAATTGCGAATTATTCTAATAATTTTGTATTAAAAACTCAGTAACTAAGACAATTTTGAAGAAAAAGAAATGTCTATAATTGTTTTTTGAATTACGACAAGCATCTATAACTGATGAAAAAATCTTGTGCGGAACATCACAAAACTTTCACTTACCCTACTTTTAGAAGAAATTATTATCATGTTTTAAAATGAATAAACAATAATTAACTGTAATAATAAATAAAAACTTAAGATGATATCTGTGGCACTTGTAAGTAGTGTATTAAGTGCAATTTTGTGGATTTTTATTGGTATCCGTAAAGCTAATTTTATCTCTTTCATTGTGTCTAATGGACTATGTTTTGCGGCTATTACAGAGTTGAGTATTCCTCTGTGAATCATGGGTTGAAACTTGAAAATTGAACTTGCACCTGTGTAAATTCCAAATCTTGAATTATTCACAGGTGTCACAGATATAAATTATAGCAATTCTGTTTACTATATATTTCTGATAAATCAAGTTAAAAAAGAAATATATTTTCTATAAAAAATTCCATTTAGTTATTATGAAACATTTATTTTCCATTCAATATAATAAAACGATACATTAACTACAAAAAATAAAGTTTTAGCTTTTCGTCACTTTACATTACCCTCTATTACCTTATAAGATAAATATTCATTTTTCTAAAATCATTTGCTTGACAACTGTCACGCGTTTATATTACTAATCTTATTTCCGGAAATTTGTTTTCAACCTGCAAAAATATTAATCCCATTTTTTCTTAAGGTAGTTTTAAAATTCTTTTAAATGTTTCTCATATATAATCATTTAGTATTACTATTAACAATGAGAAACCTTCAAGTATTTATGATAAACAAAATTAAAGGTACTTTAGATAAGAAAATTTTGAACATTGTTAGAGCGTTTCCATAAAATTGGTTATATTAAGTGAAAATTGACGATTAGCCGATTTAGATGAAATAATTGCTTGTGGACTGTGGATGTGATGATCTCCAGTAGCTTGTAGCGGTACTCCGTGTACTTGCCTATTTCCGGACTTGTGCTGAGTTATCAAGTTTTGGTTCGGTTATTTACTCAAATATAATGTGATAAACCAATATAGATGTTAAAATTAAAAAACATATAAAAGACAACAGAAATAATGTAATTCAAAAAGTATTAGTTACATTGTACGACCTACCTGCTCTTGGAATGTGATATATAATGATCTCGAGCTAAGATAAAAATTGAACATTGCTTGAGAAGTGGATTACCACTCCAATACGTTACAATTTCCAACATTGTTCTTTTCAATTGAAGTTATGTAACAATGATAAAACAGGAATATCAATTATCAAACAAAAAAAAATATTTATTTTATCTATATTTCGCAACAATGTTTGTTCGCATTGTTTTACGTATAGCTCCCTTTTCCCAGCGAGTGATGGATTTTGTTAAATGAGCTTTCAAACGAAAAAGAATTTCATTGAGAAGTGATGAATCAATATTTCGATCGTTAAATTCCTTCGAAAATGTTGACAAAAATCATTGAAAAAATGAGAAAGTCGAATCGAAATGGGATAAACAGTGTTTTAAATATTTCGACTCGAACACCAATATTGATATTTTATTTACTTTCCATTAAATTTGCCACTGCGTTGTAACGCATCAAGCAAATGTGTTGGCGTTTATTCTATCTTCTTGTATTCTTGATAATTGTTTAACTTGTCAGCAGATCTGTAGGCCACTGTCTTTTTAGTCGTAGTTGAGGCTCACCAAGTAACAGGGAGCAAGATAGAGATAGAACGAGTGGATTTGGATGATTGAGAGTAGAAGAATGAAATGTTGTGTACTTGTTGTGCATGTAGGATTTTACTTTTGGCATGTTCATGTCTGTGTGTATGGTGTGATTTGAAATAAACCAAGGTTATAAGGCACAATGGTTTACTGTGGAAAATAAAACCACACCATCCTTCAACTTACTTTCTGATACTTCAATCTTTATTTCTTGACAGGTTCTTCTGTATTGCTATTGATTTCTCTACTTCTCCCTTCTTTTCTCAACTTACGGGTTACCACAAAATAGTGTTTTAAGCCCTCTTCTCTTTCCTATCTACAAATCTGATATCCCTGAGCATCCTAGCACCATTC